TTTAAACCCTTAATTTAGTGCCTGTTCTCGTTGAATAATAACACTGATGCGCGAGGCATTCCGGACGCTTATTGCGGTCGAAGGAATTTGCTGCGAACCTGCCGACGGGTTCGGAGGCTTGGTAGACTTTTTCGAACACTTCTGAACGATCTGAGATTCGAACGAGAAGGCGTGGCTGTGAGAACCACTGACGACGTTGGAAGAGATATTTCGCGAGGGTATTGAATCAAGGTACAGGTCCTCCGGCCTCGTTGACCTCTGACTGAGGGACCAGAGCCACAGCCGTATCTGGCGGCCAGTTTTTCAGACAGTGAGGACGAGGAACGCGAGGCAAGGATACGGCACGGACCGGTCTCTCTCGTCGTCGTCGTCGTCGTCGTCTCCTCTTTTGCTGAAGAGGCTCGGAGTTACTCCCGTCTCTACTCGCTTCAGTCTCCTCTTCCTCTCTTCAGACGACCCGCGGCCTGATCCGCTGGACAATGCTGGCGCCGAGGTATCGACGACCTCGAGGTCGTCGCACCCTCGTTACTTCAACCCCCAAACGTTTTTAACCCCCTTCGGGAACGATTCATTCAGGATATTCATATTCAATTGCTTGGACGCAATTCCGTTTCTCTGCATTCTGTAATACACGTTTCGAGCGCGACTCGGCGTTTGGAGAATTTCGAAGATAGTCGTCAGGCTACGGATCATGTAGCCAAGGGAAAGGTATCGGTACGAGGGAAAAAAAGAAGTCGTGAGAGGAAACGAAAGAAGTGAAAGTCGATCGTTAAATTACAAGCTGTGCCAAAAGGTATAGATTATTACGTGATGACCAACTGGTACCATACGTCTCTCGAGTCTCTGGACCAAAAATTACTGAGAAATAATCGCGTTAATTAAATGCAAACGGGACAAAGGCGTAAAAGCCTGGTAACGAATACCATGACGGCAGGAAAATGAAAAATCGCTATCTCGATGTTGGGCAACAATCTGGGAAACCTCACTCTACTTTCTGATTCAACGCCATTGCACATCGAACCACCGGAAACAGAACTCGAAATCGAATTCCTTTTTTTTTAATTAATTTGCTTTTTCACGTTTCTCGAACAAATTTAATTCAGAATTAATCTGATTCATGTTTCTCCATCAAATGTCAGCTTCGATTTCCATTGGAAAGTAATTAGTGACAAAGAGATCTAAAGATGCGTTCACAATTTCCGATTCGTTTTTATTCCGAGAAGCAATTCTAGTCTAAAACGCGTCGATCATGGGGAAAACGGAAAGGCGATTTTCCGACGATTTAACGTTAACGCAGGTAACTGTACGCATTGTACGAGCGTAGACGTACACACGCGCTGCGAGCGTGTATACATATATCCGCAAGGCCATCGCCAAGGATGCCAGAGTATAGCAACAGGCCACTTAGAACTGGATACCCGGTGAAGCTACCCATTTTACGATTTACTGCAGCTGTCGAAACCACTCTTGTTGCTCCTATTAAGCGCCTGTCGCGTCTTGCTTCCACCCAATGACGTATATCGTCTCTTTTTCTGTCTTATTACCTTCCTACGTTCGTTTCGTTCGCGAGCCCTCATTTGCACACGTTTTTCATTATGACGTACGGACGAATAGATCCGGCCGATAGGCAATTTTGTTCCACTGCTTAATTCCCTTTAGGCTTCGTAAATTTAATTTACTGCCAATAATAAATGATTCCATTCCATTACTATGAGTTATATTCCGGTTTCTTCTGCATTTAAATACTAGAATTTAAACTGTGCAATTAAATATTTAAATGGATACGCATGAAAAATGAAATGTCGCACCTCGGAGCATTCATAAATGGGAGGAGCAATTTGGTTGAAGTCGGTCAACGATTTCGAAATCGATTGCTTTCCCCGCGCATCCAAAACCATCTTAAACTTTCGACGATGTTACGTAAAACCGTTTCGCGGTCTTCCTTTTTATCTCGTGCGTGCTCCTGCGGTCGACTTTCCATTTTCATCGAGCGCGTGCAGTTATGAGTACGTACTCGGATAAAGAAATGACGCAAAGAAACGTTTGTAAAAAAGACCCCGCGCGCTGACACGCAGTCGAAGCGAGCCTGATTGCTCCTATTAGATATACTTAGAGCTTTATCAACCGGATCTCAGGGATAAAGAAATATCGAGCATAATTTTACGCCGCGTCACGCAACGAAATTGCCAATGAAATTTCACGAATCTGCGATTGCATGCTTCACGCTCTCCGTCGGAAAAAAAGTGTACCAGGAAACAAATACTATTAAGCTTGATGCAAAGTAAAAATCTAGGACACATCGCGTCTATTTTACATTTGACGTTCGTTGTGCTCTTGGATATCTACAAAAATGCAACGAATTCAAATATTTGATACTTGAAATCTCTTATAATTTCTTCTTCGTTTCATCGCATCTTAATTTTCACTGGCCCATGGAAGAATTTGTTGAGAACGTGTCGAGCATTTGCCAGTCAAACAATATACATGCATACGGGAAAGAATCGAAGTGGACTTTTACTTTTACGAGGTGAGCGTGGGCCGACTGCCCACGAGACACCGTCCCACTCTACCTCTGGACACGTAGCCAAAAGAGAGGACTACCTTCGGGCGTCCGCGAAAAGGAGCAAAATATTTTGTCCAGTCCTTTGTCTGTTTCGAATCGAATTTATGCGTCAGTTCTGCGAAAGCGAACCCGCATATTATTATCACAGAGAAATTGTTTCCATCGAAATGGCAGTCTCCAGTGTTCCATCCCGATATGCAAATTATTTAATTTCACTGAATGAATAAAACGATGTACATTGCATAATGGAGGATGTATAAGGATTTTTGAAGAAGATGAAAGTTTCATAATTGACCATAAAACGGCCTGAGTAAACCTTAATCGATTTTTTATTCCACGAGATCAGACGTTGCTCGACGATCAGTCAGCTCGAGGTTGGAACGTTGTGTAAGTGGAGTAGGAAAGCCGGTGCAAATAGAGACGTGATGCCATTAATGAGTAACTGAAAACGACGTGTTTGTGCGAAGATCCATCGCTGGTTTTAGCCTTCGGTGTTTGCGAAACGCTCTCGCGGTTGGAAAATCATTTGAACGGTTCTCAGTTGAGATTATCTATGCAAATTATCTCCCGTTGCGAATTTCGAGTTCTACTGCGAGAATTCTTCTCGACGTCGTTAAATGCTGCACTTATGCAACGGTTTTAAAAAATAGCTGGACGTTTAAGCGTTAAAAGTCTGAACTCTGAATTCTATTATGCAATGTGGTCCACTTTGCAAAGAAGCGAACGAGTTCTCTTTGAAGATTACGTAATCGACGAAAACGTTGTCCGTGTGGAGTCAACGTTTCGTCCGCCGGCGTTTCGTCCGTCCCGTTACCTTGTAGAGTACGTCGATTCTGTAAAACACAGGACCGAGTTCGATGCTACAGAATTTCTCAGATCCATATTCGTGTTCGAAAGGGAAAAATATGAAACTGATGAAGGTATTCGGTAAAACTATTTAATTTACGGTTCATGGAATCGTTATTGTCCGAGATGTCTGCCCACGGCCCCTCGGACGCCCACAACGGGCAGCGAAGAGGTCAAAGACTCTGTTCACCTTCTTCAACGTTGCCTGTTCGAGACAAATTGTTCCCTTCGGCGTTGCAGCCCTTAAATTACACGGGCCCAGCGCACCAGCATCGCTATTAGCCGTGGGACAATCGATCCGTACAAGACAATTATCTTATTTCTCTTTCTTTCTGTGCACGTCGGGAAAAGTAAAGTATTTAAGAACGAATTAAACAACAATTTGAAAAGACACGACATTGGGAACAGCGGAGTATACCATATAGGAATGCAGCACAGGGTAGCAGAAAATCTAATGAACACAAAGATTTTGGCAAAGAAGTAATTTATTCAAATATTTAAAACTGAATTAAGAAGATAAGACTTTGAGAATAATAAACGCAATAAATCGCAGAAAATTATTGCCTGGCATGGAAGCCATCGAATAAAAAAGACGAAGAATCATGCGGTTTCGGTTCTGGAAAAGGAGCGAGACCAAAGAGGCATGCAGATCCACGGATCGTGATCGGTACGGTTGATCATCGGCAAAACGGAGGAACCAGCGTTCCGTTAAGGACACGCGGTTTGCACGGTATATATACATATGTGTATCGCTGACATAAGGCGTAGCAGGCATACTACATATCTCCTGTTGTAAGAAGAAGAAGGCCGTAAGAGAGTCCGGTCACATAACGGTCCAGTTATGGTATGGCGAAGGAAGCGATCTCTCGCCTCGACACACGATTCCCTCGTTACACGAACCTGCCCTCTCGCGCTTGCTGTATTTTCCACGATCTATCTCTCAGGCAAGCGTGCATTCACGCCTGCGCTCGGGCTTTTTCACCTCGAATCGCTTCGGCCGCTTCTTCTCGTTCGAGTGCACTTGAACTAAAACTCTTACGTAATACCGTTCGGTCGATGCCAGAGAGTCGTTTCTATACGTGCTCGACGATTAGTCGGCTCCCGGCCTTTTTCGTTCCAACGTTCGTCGAACAGTATTACAATGTCACGTGACGATGCTTTTTTTTTTCCTCGTAGCAACGTTCGTCAAATAGAAGTTTTATAGAACTCTTTTGAGTATACGTTTTAATGAGATAATTGCTGGTACAAATTATTCTTCAATTAATTACGAGCAAAGTTCTCGAGCGATAATTTGTCTGCTCTTTACCATCGTAAATCGTTCGATCGACCGTCGATTAACCTGGATTTAACCTAACGCAATAGCCTGCCGTGCAATTATCGCCATTTGACGGACGTACAGAAATTGAGCAACTAATAGTGAGAAGCTAACAGCGAGATACGCCCACGGTATCGTAGAAGACACGCGATTCAACGGGGTAATTTCGCGCCATCGATCAGCCGAATAAATCGCGAATGGCTGCGATTACCGCGATACTATATAGGATATCGTTTCGTCTTAATTATAGAATTAATAGTAAGAACGATAGCTTACCAGCTCGGTAGGCATGGTGTTGCAAGACCTGAGGGGTAGGTTGTAGGTGATAGGGGTAGGCTGGCTCCTGTACTCTTGCAGGCAAGAGCTGTTCTTCGACAGACCCCTTGGGTACACCAAACCGTGGAAATCGGTCTTTCCTTCCGTCGAAATGTGCACGATTATCGACTCGCTCGCACACTCGATTTGCACTGTGCTCGCTATCGCAGCGGTCGCTGCAACAAACAATTAGAAATCTTATTAAATAATCGCAAAAATAAGTGACTCCAGATAATTCGTTTTACGAGCCACTTCGCGTCTTTCTTCGATCTCTCCTGCCTCTCACTCTTAATTAAAATTACACCGTGGTACATCAATTTGTAGCAAGTTATTTGAAATTGAATTAGTACCGAGGAACGGGGTCGTCGCGGTTCGTTATCTAAGCTTCTAATACTAATTTCGTTTTAATCGATTTTTTTAATAGGTCATCATCCGTAAGGATCCCCTGCCAGGTTTAACTGTAAACCCGAGTAACATCGAGGTTCTCAGGTGTGAATGGCGTAACGGTTCTGTATGGTCGGCACCAATTACAAACAGTTCGCACTTTTATCCTCGGCAACTGGTCGCGTTCGATTAGGATCGACTAACGTAATCCGTTGTTAACGATTCGGTACGCGTACAAGCCCCGCTAACTTTCGAGTTTAATAACCCCCGGCGCCTGAGAATTTCGTACACCAATTGCAAATTAGATTTACCGTTGCCCGAACGAGTTTCAACTTATCATTTCTTTAATCGTTCCTGAATTTATTCTATTTGCATGATTATGCAATCTTATTTATCGTGGAAAACGTACCGTTCGCTCCATGAATGCGTTCACTCTCGGCTAACAGTTTATTTCGGTATTAGACGTTCTTGTTATTGACAAGCGTAACATCGACTTTATAAATTGATCCGACTAACGGGTCGTTCATTTTATTAAATATTAATCCAGATTTAGTTACGTTTTATGAATGCCGGAGAAATATAAAAGCAAACAAAGAAAGTAAAAGAATCTGAGAGCATCAGGGCACAATGGTCGATTACGAAACTTCTTGGTAATTATTACTGTAACTCGGTGGTTAAATATAGATTCAAGCTAGGCCTGGTGCTACGTAATTAATTCGCGAGGCACGCTTAAGCGGCATGGTCGTTTAGAAAATTACCGTCGAGCCGAACGAAAATGACAATGATCATCATCGGTTTTAGCATGATCGTTAGGGGACAATGATGAGAGAGTCGTGAACTTGACTCGGCGTCCTCCTTCGGCTTAATTCGATTCCGAATATTCCTCAGGAAGCGTCTATTGTCGAGTCAATAATAAAAATGCTAGGAAACGTGATCAGCGAATAAGGAGGCTGATTTTTCTATCCATCATTTAATGATATTACCGTTAGACTTAATGACGTCGATTTGCTTGGAGAACCGTCAGATTCCTCTTACGTCTCATTGGATTAAAAGAATATCTTTTCTTTGTCGCTTAAAGTGTGGCGATACACAAATTGCCTTTTGATATTTCGTACATTTTACATGTAGCGTTTCTGTAATTTCCTCCTAAATGTATTAAATTCGAAGTCTTGACTCAATGAGATTACCGTTAGTCTCTTAATGACATCAATTTGCCGGCAGAACTCTGAGGCTCTCTTCGCTGCTCAACTACATCGATTCTTCTCTATCGGTTTCACAGGACTCTATTTTTATTCCTGTTCCCATTTAATTGATTCTCTAATTGGGATACAAGGTTACATAACACGGCGTGTTAGACAACAGATTTGAGTCGTGTGAACATTTTCCGCGACACTTCTTTTATATAATCGCGCTGACGATCGATCGGTTATCTCGTCTAATTAGAGCAGGGATAATCAAGGAGAATTAAGTTTTGACGCAGGGACGCTCAACCGAGGTCGACGAGCCGGTTTCCCAGGCGATTTTCGAGTAGAATGACACCAACGCGATAGACGGTTTCCCGAACGGAGCCAATTAGCCGCACGCGAAAATCTCGCAACACTCCGATGCCCGAGTCAATGGCGTAGCGCAGGAAATATCGAACGGGAATCGGGGGAAAAAGAAAACGATCCGAGGTCGTCGACCGCTGAAACCATCTCACAATTTCATTTTTTCAAAACCTCGGTGGAAAAACTGCCTCGGTTCTTTTCCCGGAAAGAAGATCGGACGGAAAGGGAGGGAAGGTCTTGCCTCGTTAAACTGCCGCCTCACGATTCCGGTTCAACGGTTCCGAGAAACTTTAGAAAGAGAGATTTTCTACTAATTCTCACGCATCAGTTCCAATGAATTTACTTTAGATCTCCATGAACAATTTTATCTATAGTTTTTCCTTTTATATCTGCAACTATAAGAGGGAGATACAACGGGAAAGGAATAAACGAGTAAAACGAGATTTCGTATGCACCGCTTGTTATTTCAATCGGAACCATTGGAGGGATCGTATTACACGCGTACTTTCGAATCCTTTCGTCGGCTGTGTTCATCGTTCAATCGGTAACTGTAAAAATATTCCACGAGGCGGCGAGAGAAGTAAAAAACGGAATGCCGAGAGGTGGTATCCTCTTCCTTGAGAGTGGCATTCAAGCGTTGTACGGGAAGGCGTCTGAGTCGCGCCGGAAGTGGAAGGTACTTGACCTCAAGGTCCGTTTACTTCGGTCGAATCCTTAGCGCGATGAGCGGCCAGAAGTACGCGTGTTTCACCCTTCGATTTCCCTTTCTCTCTTCCTGAGTCATTCCCGAGGTGGCCGGGGCGAGACAAAGGCGTGTTCCGTGCGGCAATTTGCAAGCGACACGCGAACCACGCGGTTTCCGGTACAAGAGGGCATTCTTTTCTCCTTTCGGTGAAAACGCTGATGGTACACGCGTGAGAAGAGTGCAAGCGCTAACCTTTAACGAATCGTGCTTCCTATCTCCTCGCAAAAGCAAAAAGTTCACCGGATTCCCTTAACAGGTTTCAGATCGGAGGCGCGAACGTCGTTTCAACGAATAGAAATATATTAATAAGACTTTTTTTTAAATTTGCTGGTGTCGAACGTATCGATGTCCGTCACCGCACGTGACCGGACGATTGGGGATTCTGAGAAAATGAACGAATCAAATAATTCATCTGCGAAAATATTAACTCGAAGCTGACGCGACGGGACGCACAGTTATGCAACAGCTCCTGGCTTTCGTGCGTAAGATTTTAATGCACCATGGACACGACTAGCATAACATATCGTCGGTCTATCGTTGACCGTACAACTTCCTGCCCAGTCATTCACTTTATAAAGTGTCGACTAAAAATCAGTTCGAGGTCTAATCTAAAAATTGAAGTAATCACGTGGATTTCGTTTTGTAAATGAATTTAGTATAAAGATTGAAGGAATCAGGGTGTAAGAAACTATCTCGAGGCATTCTTCTGTACTTCCATCGTACCTCTAATTTAACGACGAGCAACGATTAGCCGAGTCTTGAGAAAAGGAAACGGGTTAACGAGCCGAAATCCAGGCAGTCGCGGATCTGCATAATCGCCGAACCGTCTCTGGCATTGCGAAACGATTTCTAGTAGAAATTAGGCTAAGGATGCGCCCGGTAGGCGAGCGATTTGCATATCTCCTCGGTCTTTCTGTTTATCTGCATTTAAAAAAGCTTTCTCTTGAAATCTTGGTATACCTGAATCCTTGAACTATTTTAAACACTGCGAAACACAGTAAAATATATCAATAATGAAATGAGATTGTGTAATAAGAGCGGCGAGTAGATGGAAGTCCAGTGGCTCGTGTGAATTCCGTTAGAGTTTATAAAAAGGGTGTTTCCACTGGCTAGCTTTTCGCATTATAACTGTCGTGCACGCGTCTGCATCCTCCGCAACGTGATCCCGCTAACAACCGGAAGCGGGGCAACGTTACGCGTTCGAAACTAGCTTATTAAAAAAACTGAGCCAACATTATTCTTCCTGATCTATTAGTTAAATCATAAATATTCAATTATCGTTTCCACTCGTCGAAGGAAATAATTTTATCCTTGACTCGCGTTGCTAGAAACGAAGAGTATGCTTCTTCGATAGAAACGAATGTGCGTGGCGTTCCGGCTGAAGACGTTGGACGATGGTTCGTGATCGCACGCGTTGCAAATTGCAGGCACCTATTCATAGCAATTTTCGTAGAAGAATTTCACAAATTATTTTTATTAATTCGGTATTCGTTTTCGTTCGTAAGAGATACCGCGAGTTGTTCGGGTGTCGGTTCATAGTCGATGCCGCTTGCATAAGTCGGACGTGTCCCGCGTACGGAATATGTAAGAAGAACCAGTCTCTGAAGACGCGCTCGTGTACCTACTCGTAACGTCGACTGGATCCGCTCAACTAGCCGCGATCTGGATCATCCAGTTCAGATCTCAAAACATTTGAGAACGTCCACTTTATTCTGTTAGAATAATTAACAGACCGAATGGATATTTCAATTGAAATGTGCGCTATATTTTCAATACTGTGTAATTACTTCGATTGAATTTTTGTAAAATCGGTCTATTAATTAGCGTCTTGAATTATTCAATTATTCTTACGAAGAATTATCGGTGGTAAAAAGGGTAGAACGAATGGACGACGCGAGGGTAATTAGTCGGGGTAATTGGACGCGGTTGAATCGACGCGGTTACCTTTTTTCGCGACGAACGTAAAATCATTCGGTGTGGATTTAAATTATAATCCGGCCGTAAAACGTGCTCATCTTTAATTCATTACGGTCTCAGATGGCTCGCAACACCCCTGGTACATGTCCCAGCGAAACCGGAACCCGGGCAAAAACAATATCTCTCCCTAAAGCCTTAACGAACCATAGTTTGCCGTGACGATACGGCGGAAGCGATTTCTTAAGGAATTCCGCTGAAATTGGACGAAGCCTGCCACGATTCCTTTCTTCGCGAACGGTGCTTCGAACCAAGAATACGTTCTTGGAAACGATTCATCGCGGATAACCGCGTTGGCCTTCGACAAAATTGGCAACGGCAAATTTAAACATTAGTTTTCGTTCGACCTTATCAATAGTTTTTATTCAGTTATGCGACATCTTTCTCGTCTCGACGTCTAATCGCGTTTCGTCGAGTCTCGTTCTCTCGCAAATCGTTTTATACATACTTCAATTGTTTTGCTGGGTAACGTGAGACAGTAATTACATAAGTATAAAAAGATGTAAAGCGGAGTTGATGCAATTGT